CAGAGGCGGGAACAAATTGGGACTTCAAATCGCGTGCACGAGGATGGTGAAGAGCCTATCTCCAGCTGATATTTCCTATTCGGCCCATCAGCATCCCAATCCCGATACTTCCTGTGATGAATGAGGTTTAAGAGCAGGAGGGTAGGCAGGAATTTCCTATACAGACATCTATACGTAAATGAAGTAAAGAGAATTCCGATACGAAACTTTCCCATGTTGTTCACACTGATGTCGCGTCAGTTGTTAAGAGTTTGTTTGTGGAACACGGGAATGAGGTAAAGCCAAAAGCAAACAGCACTTTTTGTATCAACTTGAGACCTCCTGGCAGTTGGATACATGTATTCTGAAGATGACAGGACAAATGTGCCCAAAAATGGCCCGAAGGCCAGTTCAAGTGTACAAGCACCAGACAAATCCTAAGGCGACCGCCTAACGTCATTTGGTCACATGAACAAAGTATTAAACTACCGCTCTCTTCTTTTGGGTGGCGTCCTCGGCGCTACCCTTTTGTACACCTCCCGCGCCAGCCATCACAGCATATTCGGTGCTACAAGGAAGTACTCGCGAGGCAACCGCGCCAGTCGACAGATAGCTCGAGACTGAAGAAACACACCTGGTCTCCTCGAAAGCTGCAACTGTATCTGGAGTTATGTTCGGTCTCACAACCAGGTTTTGGAGCCGCATGCATCTGTTCACCATTAATTGCTTCCATTAATGTTACAGATTATCAGACTCATAGATACCCAAACCCAGAGCATCAACATCAAGAACAAGCGACATAAATCCCCATATCCTGTGCGATTTGTAGGTACTGAAGCATTGCATAATCGGGTCGAGCCATTGCTCGTCAGCATGTCTATACTGTTCTTTTCCGGAAATCAGTCGATTAATTGGCAAGGTTTAGCAAAACACAACGTAGGATGCAGTAAGATAGCGGTGTCTGTTGGTAACAGATTTTCCTGCACACTATGTTGCTTTTAACAAACGACCATTGAAGAACAAGCGGCAGAAAGGGAACCCACCTCGCTGAAGCAGGTATTCAGAAGCACTATATACTAAAAGTCGTAAAAATGTCGGATCCGCTCTCCGCTGCCACCAGTGTAGCGTCACGAGACCTCCTCTCTGGTATAAG